ACATTTGTTAATGAAATTATGTTGACAAAACTGTTTTCATCGCCTTCATTTTTCATAACTTTGAAACAATGAGTTTTCACCTATATAATAAATACATAATTTCCAGCTTTCGTCACTTAAAACGATAAATTGGAATAAAGCAATAATATGCAAAATAATGAAAAAAGAACTTTAAGTTTTAAGTTACATTTTCTTTTATCATGCCAATTAGGGTTCAATTTACGTTTCATATAAAGGTACGTACCAGTATTAAATGGATGACAGCGGCATCGTATGAATTTATCGTGTGGTTTCAGTCGGATAGTTGGCAAGTTACGACCGTAGCTATTCGGTCAGTCAAATGACAAAGCTTTCATTTGGATACCACTCGGTTACAATTAAATATCAAAACTCAAACGAACTTCACATTATACACTGATCAGATGTAAATTGTTTAAGTGTAGTCAATATAAACATCTTATATATACAAAATTTTCGTGTCATAATGTTAGTTACCATACTCCTCCTAAACAGCTTGACCGATTTTTTTGAAATTTTATATGCACATGCAGTAGGTCTGAGAATCGGCTATCTATATTTTTAATCCCATGCAGACAAAGTCGAGACAGCCAGTATTATATTCATAACAAACTACTCAGTATATATCTGCAACATTGTAAAAAAATCATTAACTTTGAAGCCCTCTATTGCCTAAACTAAGCAACTTTAGATGATGGTTAGTTCTATAAATCGATATTTTTTCAGAAAAGAAATCTTTCCCCTTAGCTTTACACAGTATTTCCGAACTGGAAACTTCGTGTGCTGATAACCAAAAAAAATGTAATTTTTTTCCTGAAAAAAATTATAACATTAATGTGACCCATATAATTCATGAAGATAATGAGGGGACTATGGGTTTCCGTAATATAACGACCGAGTGGGTCATGAACTTGTATTATTGCTACATTGACGACTAGGTACGGCTACATAAACATGTTTCGGCTTTTACGATGCGTAGGCCATATCCTCAGGCCATCTGACCTTTCATCCTTAGTATCTTGCTTAAAATTTACAAGATCAATGTTTTGAAGAGTACAATATATACTTTAAAAAATGTAACGAAAACTTTTGTATTTGGTATTATTAGATTTCTAATTTAACGAAACGATAAAAAGTACAACAACGTAATTTTAATACCAACATTTTAAAAATAGAGAACCTTATTTTCGCAATATTTCCTTTGTTCAAGCCTACGCATATTCTTAAAAAAACTACGTCTGTATTTTTTTATTTCAGATTGTAGTTTGTAGATACAATACAATACAATTTATTGGTAAAATTTAAATAAAAAAAATTCATTGAAAAATTTCTTCGTATGTATACAGAGCCTTCTCGACAAGCACTGATTTCAACATATTTTTGAATAATGTGAGGCTAGTGATATGTAAACGTAAACAATGTTATGTCACATATCCTTTCCGCAATTTCAGTACACGTAAAGAATAAACCGCAAATACAAATGATACTATAGTTCCAATGTCAGATGTCTGCTCGAAATAGAACGATCTTGATCTAAGAATATGACCCAGTTATAAAACGAATAGTGGGAGGTTAAATTACATACCATTTGTACGACCACTACGTCATTTTTGTAATCAAATAATTTAAGACGTTACATTTACGTAAGTTAAACAGTGACGAGTGCGAGGTCAATCTATAATGAATCTAGCTGTCGCCCGTTATTCCGCCCGCGTTGAGTTGTTAATAAGTAGCCTATGTGTTCTTCCAGACTATTGCCGATATTCTACACATCTTTGCCAAATTTAATCAAAATCCGTTAAACCGTTCCGGAGATACTTTCTCTAAAATCGATGGATGGTTGTTTGTTTGTTTTCTAAAAATCCATCGATTTTAGTATGTGCAATGTTTTCCTTTTATTTGTTTTATTTTCTTAATAATTAACTAGTAACACTATTGTGGTTTTTCTATAACTTAATATTCGATATCTATTGTAGGTTGTAAGTCTGTTGTGAGGGGCCTTTTACGTTTAACTGTAATTCTCAAGTTGTAAAGATAATATGGATCTCGTGAACTCAAACTATTATAACAAATTCTCTATTTTTTGCTGATGAAGATTTTCATTCCTGAAGTGATTTCGATAGACATCTGGATGATATTTTCGCCTCGTGAAAGATTTGGGCATTCGATTTCATCGGACATTCGAGTACCCAATTACTTAGTGAAAGCGGCGGCTTGAAACGAATATCTTTACCTCGGTCATTAGGATGATACTAAAATAAAGCTGCTTGCAAACTTGATTACTTATTTTTAATACATATATACTCATGATTAACAACACAATTACACACAATTTTGTAAGACAATATAATAGTAGTAGTTTCAACTGCTTAGCAATATCTTATCTTCCTTATATTTTAAATGCGAATGTTTGGATTTGTATTAAAAATCAGCATTGAACTCGCTGCAATTTGGCACACATGTAGAACGTAGTTTGGAAGAACACATAGATTTATAATTGATTTTTTTTAATCTTGCGAGGACGGTGTCGCTGGCGACAGCTACTTGCTTGTATTACATATCTGTTTATGGAGTGTTTTGTGTCAAAGAACTTACTCGTAGTTTAGTAAAATGTTATTATCATTATGTTTGAACAATGAATTCGAAGCTTTCGTGTTAGAGGACAATCACACAAGCGATTGTATCGACATTTGGCCGTGCCAGCCTTCATACGACACGATGACTCACCTCACCACACAAAATCAATAATCTGTACTATATTTTAGCTTCTACTATCAACTTTTATTTCCCTGACAATTGTACTTTTTAATACTTCGTTTTCTATTTTTAAGTCAAAATTATTTTATCAAATGTTATAAATATGTCGAGGTGTGAAGGTAACTTCTTAATTATATGTTGTTCATTTTAAACGTTATTTTGAGTTTATTTCGTTTTTTAAAAATACAAATATTTCCTCTTTATAATATTAGTAGATGAATAACAAATTGTTGTTGTATACAAAGCGAAATTCCGTATCTTAATCAGGAAAATACAGCGATGTTTTTGTGCATACTGTAAAGAAAAATACGGAAAATAAATGCTTCGTTTTATTACTTTTAAGATAAAATTTCCGGCATTGCGCATGCAATAATGACCTTCGCCTATTTCAATATCGGGTATTGTAAGGTCAATTTGAAAAACGTTACCGACATTTTCAATTAAATTATTTAGTTTCAATAAATACTTCTTAGTAAATGCTACTTTTACACGGTGGATTAAAAAAAAATTAAAAACAGTATAATTATTTCAAAAATTTTGCGGTTGGAAAAAAGTAAGACTGCGTAGTATTGTTATAATAATTTGAAATTATATTAATTCTTATGAGTGTAGAATAATTAACTTATACAAAAGGTAAGATCTGTCTCTTTACGTTCTTCTTTTTTCTTTTAAATGATCTTTTAACAATATGGTAAAAAAGTGATACTTGCCTAACACGGATCATACAAAAGACTTCACTCGAAACGTGTACATCAAGTAAAGAATGTGAAAAAGAATTTCCTTAAGGACACTAAGTTAAATCAATTTGTAAGGGTCACAAAGATCGTGGTACATCCGCGTACAAAATGCCTATCACAATTCTTGAGCCTTTTTTCTCTAGTTTTTTTTTTGTTTAACCTAAAAAAAAATTACGAAAGTACTATCTCTTCTTGTAATGAAGAATCTAAGAAAGATTTCAAGTTGAAAAAAAAAACATGATTCAAGTATCAAATTCATTATCATATAATCACAAACACAATAGAAAATCTTAATGTATCGATTAGAGGGCCATCTATCGAATCGAACTTTAGACTATTGGTTACGCTAAATATCACGTATAACCTTAGCTACCCAAAGAGCAACTCGATGGTGTTGTTTGGATTGAACCTTAAGGCACGAACGGAAGCTCGTCTCCTCATATAGATAAAGCTCTCTTTATTGTCTCCAGTAATTGAAAGGTCGGAGGTATTTCCCTCGGAGCTTTTAAATTGGTCTCAGCTGCTCGTTCAAACTGTGAAATAGCGCTTTCTTTGCTTAATGTATTGCGACTATTCTACAAATGACGACATTGCTTTTTTATAATGTAAGGCGCTGCAACGCTTTTTGATTATTCTCTTCAAAGTGAATACAGTCTTTGTTTTTGAAGACTTCAGTACCTTTACAAGTCAGATGTTTAAGAAATAAACGTAATAATGACAACATCCATATAATTTTATATTTTGTTGTAACAAAAAAACATTGAAACTAATTCCTAACCAGAACAAAACTTATGATAAATGCAATAACGAGTTATGCTTTGAATTGAAAACTTAATGGGCATTTTCATGTTTTAGAATTGATTTATTGATTTTTAATTGTCACAGCAGTATTTTTTCCACTAGTAACAATTTAGACAAATGGAACTTGTTTGTTTACTCTTTGACTACTAAATAAAATCCCGTAAATTAAAATTTTGGTGGGTAGTTTATAATTTCTGAGAAACATTCGCGTCATTCTTTGCAGTATCAACGCATACATTTTAATATTGTTGCGATATCGTCAAAGCATTTTCATTGTACTTTTAAGTTTTTTTTAACGAATAAAAAAGTTAATATAGCCTAGTGTTTATAACTTAGACATTTGTGATACAAAAGTTTGTTCAGTTGAGTGTGGCTTATGTCGATCTTCTGTAAGTAACCTAAATCTGATTTTATACCATTTTTAATACTCTTTGGATAGTTTTTTTGTCGATTACTTGAATATATAGATTACCTTTAATGATTTTTTCAATTTTAACAAGTATTTCTTAACCAAAAAATCGCCATACAATCCTCATACATCGATTTGTTGTGTCCGCGAATTTCCACTGTCAAAATACCCCTAAATATTGTTGTGTCAGTTCTAGAAGTATGAGATGATAATAAGTTTTGGTATAAGTTTTTCTTCATTGTAAACACGTAGTAATGATACGATGTTTGTTTGTACAGACAGCGACCTCGAGTCGATCCGCGCGCTGTTCAATGAAAAGGAGAAGGAGTTGTCGGTGGCGGTGGCCAAGGTGGAAGAGCTGACGCGGCAGCTGGAGGAACTACGGCGCGGCCGCGCACAGCCACCGCCGCCAGCCGCGCACGAGCTTGACAAGCTGCGACGAGAGCTAATGGTGAGTTAAACTATAGTTACACTACGATAATTCCGCAACGGATTGACGGACAATAGTAGAAAAAGTTTGGACATGGCAATACAATCAGATAAACAGAGTACACTAAACAGTAGATTCCCAAACTTTTTCTAGTAGACCCCTTTGATCCACTCACTCTGGAAATTACTGTCTTAAACGATATATTGTTTCTATACAGCTTTATTTGGCGGTTTTTTCTCAACTAACCTAAATCGTTCTACTATTTTGTAACAAATAAATAGATAATAATCGCGTTTAATGGCGAATAGATGTATTAAGTAGGTTAACAATCAAAAAACCTTTCCAACAATGTATTGGAATCTTTGAAATGGACGTTTTATTCAGGAATAAACAATCAAGTTAAGTCGAGTATTCTCTCGGCTCCCTACTATTGCAAATAAACTTATATGGAATCCCTTTTCAAATTGCGAGCCCTTGTCAATGTCGGAACGTAAGGAATCAAGATTTACTCTGATTCCATCAACGAAACAGATTTCATAGAAAGCACTACGTAAACTTGTGTTGATAAACCTGTTCTTAAATCATAGCTTATAAATTTATTAGTGTAACGAAAAAAAGGCAAGCAAAAACGAAAAGAATATAAATTCTTTAAATAATGATAAATTAACTAACAGCCGCCAAGACTCCGTCCGCGCGGAGTTAAAAAAAAAACAAATTAGTAGCCTATGTGTTCTTCCAGACTATGTTCCATATGTATGCCAAATTTCATCGAGAACCATTGAGCCGTTCTGCAGATACCTTTAAACAAACATCCATCCATCCATCCATCTAAACATTCGCATTTATAAGATAGTATAAGTTATGATATGTCACCGTTATATGTCTAGACAAATTCATTTTGAACGTATTCATTCATAAAGTGTCATATGGGAATAATAAAAAAATTTGTGGACAAATAATAAACGAACAGCATTAACGATTTGTTCGGTGACTTAAACCGGAAAAACGATTCATATTTTTAAATATAAGTCAAACTCTAAAAAATAATAAAACTATTTAACCAATATTCTTTTACCAACCATGTAACAATGACAGTAATAATCAAAGACGGTTACTGAGTTATCATGGCATCATTTTAATTTGATCCACAATAAAAGTGGAACAGGATAAATTAACGTTGACCTTTTAGCCGTCCGCTCGTCGCGGGCATAAAAAATTACGGCTAAGAGCTCTGAGTACCCACTATTGTATTACGAGTGCTACATTGGATTTCTAAACCCAATTTTAATTTAAAGAAATCTCACTACATCTTTCAATTATTTTGAAGACGCCTAAAATATCGAACATGCGTAGCACTCGATTTTTAAACGATACTATTTAATTATGGAGCTACTGCTTACATAACAACATAAATATTCAAATAAAAAATATTCTGAAGATTGATTCCGAGATGATTAATTTGATCAAACGCCTAGCTAAGATCTGTCAGCATTCCGTCCGTCGAATCTTGCGTTCACGCCAAGTGGGTTGCGGGAGTAAGGTCGAAATCTCCTGGACTTGATACATTGCCATTTTCAAGGGGACCTATTACATTATCACTGACATCATTAAACATGTAATTTAAACACCAAAAACCAAAGGTCACATAAATTATAATAAAACTTTTTAGTGCATAAATTCTGTAATTAATTGGAATTATAATATTTATCGCCACTTGTGTTTGAAAGTAGATTGTTATAAAATTACTAGCTGTCGCCCGTGACTCCGTCCGTGTGGATATATAAAAAAACTTAATTAGTATAGCCTATGTGTTCTTTCAGTCTATATTCTATAGGTATGCCAAATTTAATCAAGATCCGTTCAGACATCACATCCATGTAAACATTCGCATGTATAATATTAGTAAGTTAAATAAAAAGCAGCTCTTGAAGGCATGAATTCGAAAAAAATTAATAAATAGTATCCTATGTCCGTCTCCTGGCTCTAAGCTACCTCCTCACCACTTTTCATCCATATCTGTAAAGTTGTTCTTGAGTTATAAATAGTGTAACTAACACGACTTTATTTTAATATATATAGATTGGTCTAATTTTAATTATGTTGCTAGCAACGTCAAGAAATTGTACTCATTCTTATACCATTGTATTAATCAATAGGAGTTAAATAGCATTTTCATGCTTTCAATGAGATAATAAAATTTCAATCATTAATACAATTAACACCTGACGATATACGTACTAAGTATCGCGTCACTGAACTAATTTCATGTCTACTGCCGCTGCCAGCGTTTTGAATCACACTATTTGACAATTCAGTTAGTGTCCCGACTCCGGACTAGCTTACATGCTCTAGATGACCTTATTTATTGAACGTGGTTGTTTCATAAACAAAAACAATAATATAAAACTATTAGTTATACGGTGCTGTGTTACTAAAATATCTAGTGAAATGTTACTAGGACATTATGAACTCTTGGTGCTACAGATATAAGAAACGTAAGCCGAATCGCAGATATCGTTTGCGACAAGTATGTAGAATGTTCATGTAAATCAGTATTTTATATATTTACTAGCTGAATCCCGCGGCTCCTTCCGCGCGGCTAGATAGTTAGTAGCCGATTCTCAGACCTGCTGAATATGCATACAAAATTGCATAAAAATCGGTCACGCCGTTTCCGAGGATAATAGTAACTAACATTGTGACCCGAGGATTTTATTTATAAGATGCAATTATAATGAATACGGTAAAGAATAAATCAAAAATTAGTTTTAATTAGATTAGAAATTTTAGAAATTAAAAACAAATCTTTTTTGTAAATAAATGTATCTCGTATGTCTACAATTCCTAATATAATTTGATGGTGTCTTTACACGACATAGAAATGTCGAGAGGGGTATTCCGCGGTAACGTGTAATCCCATAAGAGCTATAAGGTGTTCCTAACCGCATTAATAACCTTACTTTGAAGCTTTAGCTGTATAAATTACACCTTTCCCTAATTTACCGTATAAATATAATAGATACTTAAAACAACAATAAGCTATTTCACGTGTTCACATCATTCTTAGCGTGACTTTGTACAAATTGAAGCTCCTACTTAATTTCGATTATAAATTTTTGCTAATATTTTTTTTAGCATCAAACTATTAGATAGCAATTATACTGGGATAAATATTTTAGATTTCTTATCTATTTTCTTTTCTTTATAAAGATGATGGCTAGGTCTCGATAATAGTATAAAGCTATGTAGTACCGGAACAACTCCTTGAAACCGGACAATGTTATGGTATTTAATAAGATTAGCATATTTATGAAGCCGTTTTACAAAATTTCACTTGAGGTTAGCGATCACAATTAATATAATTAAAAGAAGCCAAATATTGACTTAATTTTTGTAAGTACCATTTCAAAATTCGTTTTCGTCCACACGCACGATACAGAAAAAGTTGTTCTTAATATCGAGCAGAAAATTCATTGACATGGAAAAATTCATTCAGTTGGAATTGATTTAGCACTAGAACGTTTCGTGGTCAGTTATATCGGGTACGTAATAATGGGAGTTCGATAGCGGCTCTGTTGTGCTCGTGTTGATTACAGAGTGCAGTGCGACCGTATTTGTGAAGAGCCGAATGATTCGATACGAATTTCACACTCTATTGTACTGCAAATTTATTGGGTCGACCGCATCATTTGGTGCGGATTTAGAAACTCATATCAACGGAATGAGTGGTCAGCGGAATATAATTTGGTTTTATTATAGTTTGGATAAACATTTTTTGTATGTTATCATTTTCAGATGCAAAGGTTTACCTTAAACCATCTTATTTGTCTACTCTTAGCGTCTCTGAGTTGCAAGTTTTAGTGAAACTGGTGTATTATAGTGGAAGCTTATGTTTGTATTATAAACACACCTTGTTTTCTCAACCACTAGTACTTATATCGTGATTTTGTTTGTCTTACATTATACGTTACAAATACTCGCATAATATTAAAACTTTACTCCGAACTTCATAAGAGAAATAAACAGTATTCATTTTATTAACTATTCCAATCCAAATATGGAATGGTTACTAACTTGACTTTAACTTCTTTTGTAATATTTGTCAATTTTGTTTATAATGTCATTTATGCTGAGTATTTTGTATTTAATCTGTATTGATTTGATACTATGTATTACAGTACCGTAACAAGCTGAATGAACAGCAGAACGGTCGGCTGTCGGCTCAGCGTGCGGCGCTGGGCGCTCGGCAGGAGGAGATGCGCAGCATTGACCGACGTGTGGCTGAGCTGCAGGCGCGACTACTGCGCAAACGCGCACTCAACCGGCAGCTAGCCGCCGCGCACCGACAGCCTCGTCCGCCGCAGCCGCAGCAGCCGCCACACCAGAGGTGAACAACATTTTTTACTAAAGCCTAATAATAAAAAAAGTATGTTTGCTACACGTAGGAGTGTATGAAGACTCATTAGCAGGAAACACGATATTGATAATATTTCCGGAAATTCTGGCACCATTATTATTTAATAAAGCTATAATACTTTAATCCTTCGTATATTCAATTTTGGAAAACTTGACGTTAAATAATTTAATGTTTCTCTCAGCAAGTAAATTCCGCTCGTGAATTCAATATATTTAGTACTACGGTGAAAATCCATTACGGGGCTAAAATTAACGTCAACACTAAAGCTTGGTAGTAAGCTGTTACAAGTGCACTCGGAAACTCTCGCACCGATGCCGCGTTTCATTACAACTACACCGAAACACTGAGCCTGAATGAACGCAAACCGCCGTTAAACTTCTACTAAGCATATGCAACGTCCCGAATAACTTAGCGGAATTCAAATTAATATAATCATCGTTACACCTGCGTATATATTGTACTAGATTTGCAAGCGACTTCGTTTGCGTAGAATAATAAGTTATTGTGCAAAAAGAGAAAATATCGCACGAAAACTACATTTTCCTTCAACTATTACTTCAAACCGTATTCTAATCTCTGTGGCGATATTGTGTGCATTATTTGCCCTATTGAGTTTTGATATATTCGTTTTTTTAATACATATTTTTAATTTTGTTTTAAACTAATTGATTTATATTTAAACGGAATTTAAATATTACTTCCAGAACGAATAACCCAACACCAATGCAGCAACTACCGAGCTATCCGGCCGGGGCGGGCGGCGCGGGTGGAGCGGGCGGCCAACCAAAGAACCAACCGGCGCGCGGCAACGTGGCCGCCGTCGAGCCCTACAACCATGTGCCCCACGCGCAGAGCCTTAGTCATAACAATAACTTCCAGGTAATTACAAAAAAAAGGACTACTATCTATACGTTGTAAAAAGAGAAATACTAACAGCAGCAACATTATTTAATTATTTTTATTTCAGGCTTTGAAGCAAAACGTGATACAAAATAACGTGCCATTAAAACAGCTCACCCAGAGCGATAATATACAAAGCCACCTCACGCAGCAAGAAGCTCACTACTTACACCAAAAACAAATGATGAATCCTCTGTTCAATGGCGGCTATCCGCATCCCGCGACCGGACAGGATAGTCAGTACCCCCCGCAAGCACAGTTCCAGGATAAACATGATGCTAACTTCGTCCAACAAGGCATCGCCAACTACGATCAGAAACCGATGTATGACCTCCTTTTAAAATATCCCGAATACTCAAAACAACCACAATACAGTCCGAACAGCACCAGCAGTTCAAACAGCAACCAAACGGGAAAAGAAATAAAAATCAACGAACAAGAATTTCCCCCCGAATTCGCTGCGAGCAAATCGGACCCTAAATACCAAACGTTACCTTACAACACTAAATTTCCACAAGGTAACGGCAAAATAAAACCTGAAATGAACGGCAAAGTGGTCGATGTGCAAGATGCTAAAAATCAAAACGCAAATATTAATCACATGACGGTGCATTCGACGCCCTTATCGGTCGTCAACAAAAGCTTGGCTACACCTCTAAGTCAAACGGAAACGACATATCAACAAGAACATACATATCAATTGCAAAAATCTGACTCTTCTAGCAGGTGTAACCAGGAAGGGAAGGAAAATCATGCATATCCACAAAACTCTAGGTTAAGTCAGAATAATCAAAGCAATGAAGGTTCTAAAACGAATTCGGGAAAGAATCAACAGGGCGTAAAGGGAAGTTCACCGATTTCGAATGCCGCCGGCAGTTCCCTAGGATTCGGGGTAAGCTCTCCTTTAAATTTACTTTGTTCGTTCATTGCCATCATTTACATTGCTCGTATCATTGTCGTATCATAATCACGTCGCCTGTACATAACACCATCATTTTCCAGAAACCCGTATCGAGCGTAGCACCCACATCGGTTCAGGTCTCGAGCGGGAAGCCATCACCCATTTACCAGACATCCTCGACAAAGATCCAACCCGTTCAACCGCAAATCGTTCAAACCCAAAGCATTACTGTACCGAATCACGTAGCTAGTAACATGGTGACTTCCCAACCCCAGATCGTTAGGAACACGGCGTCAGGGCTCTCGGGTAGCTCTGCTGCGAACCTGAGCGGTCAGAACGCGAGCGCGTCCTCGCAAAGCCTCTTGTTGTCGCCGCCGCAAAGCGCGAGCACGCCGCTCGCTACGCCCGACGTCAGTGGGGCCGACAAGTCCCCCAAGCCCGCACTACCTCCCAAACCCACCATCAAGGTATCTATTCTTCATCTAGTACCATTACTTTAAGTCTTTCTATTCACAAAAATAATATTTAACTTATGAAAAATTTAGAAATGTAGTAAAGTGGGAGTAATATTACAATCTCATCTTTTCAGACTCCGCCGAGACAATCTGCAAACAATGACCAAACTTCTGAGAATAATATTCAATCGTATGGTCAGGAATCATCAAATGATAGCGAACCTGCGCTAAACCAAAAGGATTCTAGTAACGGCAGTAGCGGAAATGAAATGATCATCAAAGCACGTCCCCTGACCATCAGGAAACCTCCATTAAGCGAACAACCCAAGCTTAGAAACCTCACCAACGCAAAGAATGGCATCAGCGTCAGTATAAACCGACGTATTGAAATGCCACCAGCATTTCTGTTCCCCGAAATGGATCATTTAACACTAGATGCCAATGAAATGCAGAACGGCTTGAAAGAAAAAACGAAAAAAGATGAAGTCGATAGATCAATTAATAACAACATATCATTAAGTTCCAACGAAAGACAAGAGGATAGCAAAGACAACGGTGTGTCGGATATCGCGGAACAAATAAGTTCTGTGGATTTGAACGGTCAGGATTCTCAGAGAGCTGAGAATGTGCTGAGGCGATCAAAGAAAGGCAACCTGAAGCAAGGCGGCAAGGCGCCGCTCACTAGGCGGGTCAGCTTCGACCCACTCGCTCTCCTCTTGGACGCTAGTTTGGAAGGTGAATTGGAATTGGTCAAGAAAACTGCGACACAGGTATATTTATTATATTTCAATTAAAAAAAACATTTGTTTCTATTATATTTCTTTTAAATCAAAAAAATAATTGAAATTTATTCAGGTGCAAAATGCAAGCGCTGCCAACGACGAAGGTATCACTGCTCTACACAACGCGATATGTGCGGGACATTTCGAAATTGTCAAGTAAGTAACAGTTTCAAATTCATTAGCCTAACTATAACTAAAGCTTTCTTCTGCTACAACATGCTGACTGTCATCTTTGTATGTATTGGGCCGGTTCTAACAATGTTTGTTGGCTATTGTGAACACGGTGTAAACGTCTTTGTATCGCAGGTTCCTGGTGGAGCTGGGATGCGACGTGAACGCGCAGGATTCAGACGGCTGGACGCCGCTGCACTGCGCCGCCTCCTGCAACAACTTGCCCATGGTGCGCTTCCTCGTCGATAATGGTAAGTATACACTAATATAATAATAGCTTCTATACGTACAACATTAACTTGTACGTTGTATTGTAGATTATTTTGCTTGTAGTTATTAAAAGAATTGTTTTTTCTTTCAGGCGCTTGCATATTTGCAACAACTCTGTCAGATCATGAAACAGCGGCCGAGAAATGTGAAGAGGATGAAGAGGGCTTCGATGGGTGTTCGGAATATCTTTACAGTAAGTATTGTACAATCACAAATAAACCTTCAAAAAAGCCTGAAGTATTGAGCTGCGACGAGAGATCTAATAAATTAAACCAAAAAAGCTGGGCTATGTTATTATTTTTTAGCTTCTCGCGAGTCGCTGCGTAGAACACAATTTAAAGTGTAGCGGCGGGTAGCGGGATGAGAGCACGCCGCACCGATGACCTTGGGCCACCAAGATATTTAAAAGACTAATAGCTGCTATTAGGTTAATTTAATTTCGATATAAATTTGCAGGCGTCCAAGAGAAGTTGGGCATAATGAACAATGGGTTGGTGTACGCGGTGTTCTCGTACAGCGCGGCGCGCGGTGACGAGCTGTCATTCGAGTCAGGCGCGCGATTGCACGTTGTACGCAAAGGCGACGACAGCGAGCGTGAATGGTGGTGGTGCCGCGACGATAGCGGCCGCGAGGGTTACGTGCCGCGGAACCTGCTCGGGGTGAGTGACATGACACGTGCACATAAACATGTTCGAGTCCAACGTGCACGCGACTTTACGACATATGTGTGCATTTCATGGCTGATATATATACTAAGGTGTAGCGTTGGGTTGCTTATAAATTAATGGTTTTAGCTCTATTAGCGCCCTGGTCGAGATTTCTTCAGTGCCTTTTTTAATCCCCATGGCTTTGGGGGCATGGATTAACAGAATTATGTGAGACTCAGTAATTCTCAGACCTATGGCGTCCCCTCATGTTCCGCGCCCCGGGCTGGTGCCCAAACGCCCCTATCTTAAGGCCGGCCCTGTGCTTATATAAGTGTATCTCAGACATATTATGAGAGATTACGTGATACATGTGCATAAGTACATGGTGACTTTTGTTACTCATATTTATTTAAGGTTACACTAAAATATTTTGCTTTTAAATTACTTTATTAAACAATAGATGCATTTTTGTTTCAGTTATATCCAAGAGTAACCGGCCAGCAGGAATAATGGAAATACAAGGCCTAATTAATTTTTAAGTAATCAAGTTGTAAATACATTAGCGATTATTATTTTTTATGTATTTATATCACTCTAATCTAATTAAAAATATTGTATACACTTTTATGAAATCTAATATTTTGTATATATTTAAATAAATCCAAACGAATGAGATTATATTGTACATTTTATAAATACGCGAGTCATTGTAGTAATTGGTAAAACAGTTTGTATATTATGCTTAGGACGTTTGCAAATATTGTGAAATACTACACGTAAATTGACAATACAAAATGATACATAATAATATGGCGATTTTATTTTTTATCAACACCCTTATATTCATTACCGAAAATTTGAGAAACTACGCCTACTCTAAAGGACACTCGTAGTGATTTGATACAACTCTGTTGGATTTTTTTTTACTGGATAATGTGGCAAACGAGCAGGCGGGAGTCAATAGATCAAACTCAATCACGTAAATTACACTTCCAAGTTGCAGATATTTCTCAAATCGGTTTGACACTAATTAGTTAAGTTACAAGGTATTTTAAATAGATGGCGGTATATACGTTTATTTTTTCACAACTTCTTTGATAAATCATGGAATAACAGATAGATGGCGCTGTACCTAATTTATGAACGACATTCATTTTGACATTTTAATAAAGGAAATTTAAAAAAGAATATATTTTATTTTACCAATATCTTATTGACGAGATTAACAAATGAGTTGCAAAAGAAACATGTAAAGACATAGTGATCATAAGAATTTATTAACTAACAGATTGTCTCACATTTCACCATCATCAGAGTCTTCAATATCAGCCAGAGCCTGTTTAGCTTGGTTCTCCGCTTCAGACGCGACCTCGCGAGGCACCAGCTGGTGACGGCCTCTTGTGTCTTTAGACACCCACGACAGCTCCAATTCAAACTGCTTATCTTTTAACTCATCATGAACTAAATAAATACTGGAACACAATAAAAATGAACTTAAATAAATACATAAAACTGATATTTTGTGCTGTTTATTTCATGGTGAAGCTATAACAGTGTGAAGTTGCATTGAATTCGGGTAAGAACACATCAAAACCTAAGGCCTAGTAATTAAGAGAATGCTTTAGCTCTTTTCTGGGACATGTAAGAGCTGACAATGTCAAAAAAAACTTTATTTCACCAATTTTTCCAATCCAACTTCTACCTTCCTCTACTCCACGGCTACACAGATTTAATCCAAACAATGAATAAATTAGAGTATCCATATTAAGTTTTATACAGCATATATGTCTTGGTTTTGGCTAATCTCCAAAATGGATGGCCCAATTTTGAAGGGACATAGAAGATCCTCTTTTTCACTCCGCACTGATGAAGTCACGGGCAACCACTAGTACAATATAACAATCCTTTACCTTGCACTATCAAAACATATGCAAAAAAACATTGTTGTAAATCTTAATCTCTAAAGAAAAAACTCAGAAAATACAATAATTTGTTTTTACAGATGTTTCGGGAGTATAGATTTTTAACCAAGTTTCCACGTTTGACAATATTTGATGAGGTTTTCAATACTTACATTCTTGCTGCTTCCTTCACCAACTCCTTAACAGTCATGTCAGCAAGTTTGAGCTTTTCAATTTCAGTTTTAGCCGCTTGTTTCGCTTTGCCCACAGCACATCCAAAGTATGACTAAAATTAAAAAATTGTTGTTAGGGCTATAGTGCAGATCTCACATAATAGTTTTTTATTGTGTTACTAAAGAACTTTACTCTTGGTGGATTGACTTTGATAATAATATTTATTTGAAAGCTGACATTTGCAATTTTGTACCATTTTGATTAATTATAAATTATTTTCAGCATTCATATGTTGCCTAGCAGATAAAAAGATTTTTAATAAGTCATCGAGAGTAACTAAAGGATACTTACAAATGATACACCGCTGGGATCTAACATGTACATCTGTGGACCTTCATGTTCTGACCAGGAGCCCATAACCACGGAGCAGCCATAAGGACGGACAGCACTGTATAAAGTGTAGGCATGCATGTACATGGAAACACGCTCATTGAGGTACTTCAGAGGCACTTGGATGCCATACTGTGATCTGTAGTTGGATGCTTCAGTGCGTGCTGTCTCAACAATTTGTCTTGCATCAGAGATTAAGCCCGCAACAGCCTGGAAACAGTAAAATTAACACCTAAATACATAAACAGTATTAAAATAAAACTTTTTTGCCCATCAATCTATTATTCTTTTAAAGCCTGATTTACATTATGGCATTAGTATGCCAACTGATTTTGAATGCTACTGCCTTATTGTACTAATTTATTTAAGATTATTCTACATTAGAGTTCATCATTATGTGGGACAAGGTTACGGGAGTATCCTGGAAGCAAATCATTGTGGAAATCTTTTGGGGAGGCCTATGCCCAGCACGCACCACATGGCTGAGATAGAGGACAAGATTCAATCACCATTGTACACTTCTTAAAAAAACAAGTGTTCTTTTTTCAGGTTTGACAATCTTTGCTTTACAGTTGTATTTCTAATATAGATCTTGTGACCTCTAGTTAAAACTGTTTTCAACAATAGTGGGATTTTTGATCAGTACAAGTCTAACATAATCTGACTTCTCTCCTCGTAGAGCAAACATAAAAAAGGGTTGACAAAAAATCATTGCATCAAAAACTTAAATTCACAATAAAATAGGAAAACAGTGTAAACAGGATTACAAAAAGTAATTCATCTAACAAATATAAAGCTGGTTTATGAACTTACCATTCCTACATGTGCATCTACATGAAAAATTCTTTTGTTGGCACCAGGTTCATACAATTTTGATGTCACTAACTTCTCAACAGCAAACACGACTCCATCTTTACCTCGAAGACCGATGACTGTGCCAGAGTTCTCTACTGCTTTAGCGGCGTATTCAACTTGAAAAACTCGACCGTCAGGTGAGAATTGTGATGCAGAAAGATCATACTGAAAACAAAGTTAAAATGATTAAGCATTTTCTTTAGTAGCCTTTAAGGAATGTTTTTCCTTTTGGAAAAATGTTCAATCTTCAGATGGTAAATTGATATTTCACATTTAATGTTGGGTTATAAGTAAGAACTTTCTTGAAGTAGAATTTAGTGCTTACCCCTGTTCCAATGGAACTCATTATGAATTTGAATAATTTGTTGTAATACTTTTACTAATAAAACGTTATTAAAGAAGTAGTTGTTAACGCTTTTTATTTTGTTAAGTCTTAATAATAAGTTAAAAACTTAACCGCGATCCGGCAAAAAAATTACAATGACAGAATGATTTAGCTTTTGCTTGTTGCTTGTCATCTTATGACACAGATTAAATAAACGAATTTTATGTTTTATCTATGTAACGTTTTAGGTAAGATATTAAATTAACATAAAAGTAGGCAATTCAAATAAATATTATTTATGAGTTTTTTTAAATTTTGTAACACATCTTTTAAACAGCGCATATTTTAGCACTTTTTTCATATCTGAAGACTTGGACACTAACGCCATGCGGGATTGGCGAAAACTACACAAAAACACTGATGTATTTTTTTTATTTCAGTTACGATTTACAAAACATACCATTTTTCTTTGGTTTTTTTAATCTAGTATGTAAACCGTGTACTAAATTTTTAAATATCATTGTCTTAGTATATACATGTTAATCCTACACCGTTGTGCCAATTCCTTTGTAATACCAACATCAATATTTTTATATTATACTAACTATTTTTAAGGAAAGCAGGACAAGTGTGGAAATATAAATATGAACCATTTCCACTTTTAATCAATGCAATAAGTTCAGACATTGTGTTATTTATTAAGCAAAAAACGCCAAATGAAACGAATAAAATTGAATGATTTTAAAAATATCAGATTGTAATCACAAATGATATTTCAGGACATAATTTATAAATTTTGGAATGGAATAGAAATTTCAATGTAAGATCAGTACAATTTTTATTGCCTAACTGTTTTATTTTCTTGAAATCGAGAAATTTTCCACGGCGAGTAAATGTTGACTTGAATACGAATGCGTTTTTTCCTCCGTGAAACTAAAGCGCTTTCTCTGGTAAAGAGTAGACACTGAGTAGATATTGATATTGGATTTTGCTATGAGTAAGCATAAAGTAACGAAAATGGATACTATTTTGACTTTTATTAAAAAAGGCAATAGAACACTTTATTAGCTTTCAACAACACAATTTCCAAACAAACTTTAAAACAAATTTTCGTCTGACAAGAATCAGTGAGTCAGTTGTCAGTCACGATTGCATCTTCTAGACTCATCATAAGAGTTAATGTCTTATTCTCTGTATTTTTTATTCGACTCTAAACAAACATTCACAGGTAGAATAACGTTGTATAGCTTACATTTTTATACTTTTAGCTTACTGAACTGTAAAAGTTGGGTGGTATGTATGTAAGTATATGTAATAGAATGCTCCAAGGGGGACGTTTCAGGCGGCGAACGGCAGATTACCATGTCAAAAGAAATTTACGGCCATGTTTACACATTTTCGCTACCCGCGCTCTAACGCCCAAAAACTGCGACAACTTTATTATCGCGGAATCCACACCGCCCGACTCTCCAAATTTTCACTGACGCTAAGCTATTGCAGACAAAATGTCAATCAATTTTTTTTGAAGAACCATTGTATGTTCTAAATAAAGTTTATAAAATATGTTATTTTTTCAGCTTTACACTTTAAATAATTCATGTAAAATTTAAAAACGGTGCCTCATTAATAATAAATTGGACACGGGAGCGACGTTAAATTAATTTCAGTCTGATTGCATCCGCTAAAAACATGAACATAATTTTGGTAGACAGTCGGCTCGCATAGGCGCATACAAAATGAGCTTTGAGGGATTGTCATTTGCCTAGCCGACATCCTAATTAACGCGACTTTTTTCTTTGTCTATGCCACAGTATATGCGTTCAAATAATGTCTGACGTGGCAAACAGAAGTCTAAAAAGAAACGTTGAAAAGAGGAAATGTTGAAAATACTCCTATTGTTAGCAGTAAATTGCAAAATCAGGAATTAAGCGATGCTATTTATGGATAGAGCATAATGTATTCTCGAATAAAACTGATAAAATTATAATGTTCTGATAATTATTTTATATACATTTTTGAGTGTAGATATGAATGGTGTTTGTACAAAAGCCAACGTCACTAAAATCTTTTCCATTTTGAAGTATATGATAGCTAGATTTAAAAATTCTGTATGACACGAATATAACTGTGAGTGCTCTTCATGTTTGAAGTTTAGTGCCTATTTAAGAATTAAAGGATTGTCGATGGTATTCACTGTTTAACTTGATATCTATTACTTTGAAGATGGTCATTTTCCAAGGTGTTTATCTAAAAGTTTAATCAATATTGGTACAAAGTCATCAAAGGTTGTGTCTCATAAGCCTCCATAAAAATCATTTTTACGACATCTCTTAGAAAACTGAAATGTTGCTATCGTATCCATAAATGGGCATTCTGCTATCTTTAGACTTAGTATGAATACTTAATCTTAATAATATTCTAATTACGAATGTTTAGATGGCTAGAAGAATTGATGTTTGTTTGAAGGTATCTCCAGAACTGATGAACGGATCTTGATGAACTTTGGCATACATATAGAACATAGTCCAGAAGAACATATAGACTACAGATTACCTTTTTTATTTAATCCCACGCGAACGGAGTCGCGGGCGACTGCTAGTATTATAATATTCCTGACGTATAGTGACGTGGAATATTTATAAGTAGGCTTAAAACTGCGTAGCCTAAAAATGCAAATATAAATTTTGGTCGTGGAGAGATCTCATACGTAATGAGCCTCACTGGGATTATTATTTGCGAAGCTGACATCCTAATTAACGCGGCATTCAGTTTTTTTTTGTCTGCGTACTGGAATTATACCGGGAAAAATAATGCAGACGGAGACAACTAAAAGTTTTACCAAAATTTTATCCAATTAGAGGAAAACTGAAGGGTATTATGCTAAAGTACGTTTTATTTGAATAAACGACGAGTTAAGGGTTATCATATATGATACTTTTAACCCCCGGATTCACGTTGAGATCATTTAGTTGTTTTTTTGTGACAAAATGTACTAACCTTAAGTACTTTTTGTGTCATTCACAATGTGTGCGAAAAATTTAGTAAAATAGTATCAGTTTTTAAATTTTTCTTTGTCTTACTCAAAGATAATTATGGAAATTAATTTGTAAACGTTAACTTTCCTTAATATAATACTAGTTAGTAACTAAATCTTTAACATTGTTTAAGAAAATTAAATGTCAAAGGAGATTTTTGATGTCATATTAAGTAAATATGTATTGTTTTGTAATTCCTCTGCAAATCAAAGAAAATACTACGTTAAATACAATATAAATTTTGATTATTATTCATATATGAAAATTATTCACTTGAAATGAACGTATTTTTCTTTGATATAGGTAATATAGAGTTCGCTCCAGACTATAAAAAAAGAAGTATTTTTGTATCAACGTATTTTATGTTTATCTAAAATTTCTAGTGACCTTTTGTAGATCGGTGAAGGACAACTACGAACTATAAGGTAAACAAAGGGTACAACTACGCAAAAGAAATAAAAATAAATAGAACTGAGTAACTAAAGGCAGAATAAAATAAATAGAAATCATGACGATCTTACAAAAGAGTTTTTTTTTCTGCGGTACGTAAAAAGTTAATATTTCGAGATAGAAAACCATTTATTTAGGGTCTATTTCTACTCATCAGTCACGCGAGTCCATTCAAACAGAGGGGACTCGACTAGCCGTCAAGTGGAAATTGGGTCTTATAAAGCATAGATACATTATTTAGTAAACTCTATATTAGAATGAAAGTAAACACAACGCACTCGAGCTCTTGTGAGGGTTCAAGTATTCATCTGAAGTAGATAAATAAGACAAAATGAGCTTTACTATCAAATGAAACGGAGAAATCAACTTACCAAATGAAATATATATATTGTGGTATTTACCGCCGAACTTCCACAAAAAAAGCCCTTGATAGTGGTAGACTGTCGTGACAATTAAACAATAAAGTTTAGTAAATATATGTATATTGCATAGTTTCTAGAATAATAAATTCTTATTCTGTAATAGAATCTACAAACAAGAAAGGTGTCTCAGGTCAGGAGCGTGATAATTATGCTTGCGAGAGCTCCAGGGCGTTTTGTTTCCTTTATCGCGCCTTTAGTTTCACAGAAATTTCGGGCGACCTTTCGTGAACCCGGCGAGAGAGCTACAAAAGAAAGGTGCCTCGATTCAAAGAAGGCGCTTCAAAGTGAGACGGTACCAACATTACAAATTGAAATTTCTAAAAGCGTGTAGTTATGTACATTAGTTTACATTCAACTATTTGAACACTTAATATATGTATGAGTAGAAAATTAAATGTAAATGTTTTTCAACACATCAGTTACTTTCCATATGTTCATTGCGTACCAAGAAAGCGGTTTTCCTTTTACATTTTTGCTATGTTAAAATGTATTTCATTTATTCTTGTACGGTTTCCGAAACCACAAACTTCTTTTGAACATACGTAAGTACTTTCATGTTGATGTATCATTTCCTTGTGTTTTTTTAACATGTATCTTGAATTTTGTAATTGAAATCAAAACTCAAATGTTCAAAATAGTAGTAACTTTTTATATCAATGCATGAACACTATTTGTGTATTCAAAAAGAAAGAAGCAAGACATTTAACTACCTTGTTCTTTATTACTCCCGATGTGGTAATAATATTAAAGCCTATGGCTTTATAACTATGTAAAATATCAGAAACACAATATCAAATTACTTGCACACATGATAAGTTTTGTTTATGGAATTTCCAATGTTCATGATCATATTAAGACCTCATTTAACACTATAATATTTTAATGAAAAATTCATGTCCAAAAGATATATACTTAGTTATTTACAGATCTTTTTGTGGTTATGTTTTTTGGTAAATTTCCAAGTTTAAAAACGAAATGAGGAATAATTTTACAAAAGTAAACTAAAAGGAAGTAAACTAAATGTACCATTTTATTTCAAAAAAAATCTTCTAAAGTTAAAATGCAGATCTCCGAATCACATCAAAAATTCTATTTCCACGAAGAAAATGTATCTCTAAGTATGATCGCCGGAAATATATTAAGATAGTGCTTTAATTACCTAGTAAATTGCACAAGATAAAAAAATATATTCTTCGTTGAAAAATAGTAAAATTCTGGTAATATCACCAACTGATGAAAATGTTATAAGACCTGATTTTTTTGAGTAAAAGAAGGA